TATATATATATATATATGTGTGTGTGTGTGTGTGTGTGTGTGTGTGTGTGTGTGTGTGTGGTGTGTGTGTGTGTGTGTGTGTGTGTGTGTGTGTACTAACTCCAGGGAGAGCTTCTCCTCCTCTTCGTTCAGGTTCGGGAGTCTGTGTAGACCTAAAGTCATCCTGAGGGCATCAACATGCTCCTTCAGGGGTTTGTACTCATCATGCAGGCGGCGTGTTGTTTCTAGCAGTTTATTCAGGTCATTCTCCGACTGCTTGATGGTGCTTTCCATCTGAGAGGACAGGATTGGGTATTTCAAAAGAATTAGAAAACATGTATGCTTTTCAAGGTTGTACCTCTGGAAATAATACAGGCACTAAAATGACATTCACTATATCATTATCATGTGTTGCTCATCCAATACCAATACTCTCATTGCTGTTGCTAACGATACTCATCCAAACTGAGAATTCAAAAGCTCTTTTTCTGTGAATCTAGCACTCACCACATTGATATCTGCGTGGATAAGCCGCAGCTCCTCCACATGTGCCATTTTCTCTTGTAGAAGCAGGTCCATCTCTTGTTTGTACTCTTTCAGGTGCTTCTCCTCCGACTCCAGAGATTCAAACTCAACCTTAAGACGAGACTTGATCTTCTGCATCTGCACAGTCTTGTTCCTGCAGACAGTAGCACAGACAAAGGACACCAGCTGTCAGGTTATTTCCCTTACAAATAAAATAAAGAGAAGTTTTAATTCAATAAAAAAAAACAGCAAGATCTAAAACAGTACGAATGTATTTCCTTCTGTCGTGAATTTATATAAATGTGTTTAAAATAATAAATAACTTAATAGACGCAATGCATTGTTGTTAAGCAAAATCATCAAATAATGCAGCGGCAAATTAATGAATTAAGTGCATGAATTAATATTATGCACGTCTGTTACGCTGCTACTAAGCGTGTCTGAAAAGAAGAAATGAGTGCAAACAAACAGACTGGTATTCAGTGAGATGGTGACAGGCAGATAAGCTTGCTAGCTAAGTAGCTAGCTTACCGACCGAAATAATTAGCATTGCGCATCTGGCATTTGGCTGGTACACATCTGGAATATTTATACATGTGTCGTTCGAAAATTCACCTTAACGTACAGCTTATTTGTATCTTTGACTTGTTTGCCTTGTAACGGTTATAACTTCCCAACCTTTTGGAAACGAGCTAAAAGTAGAATAGCAAACACTCATTAAACACAGGGTTCTCAGCAGACAGGCTACTATTAGCTAGCTCGGTAACAAAAGCGCAGCCAAGGGGCTCATTCTTGGCCGGCTAACATTAGCTCAGATAACGTTTCTCAAGACGTGTCACGCACCTAGCAATAATTCCCTTTCTTCCGCAGTCAAGTCTTACCGTATTTCCAAGATGTTTTCTAACTTGCACATTATTTCTTGTTCGTCCCCCATGGTGGTACAGTGTCTTTTCTTTCAGCTGGTCAGCTCAGTAACCCGTAAGGCCACGGTGGTCTCCTTGTTGATAAAAACACAATAGCCTTCGTGAGCGCGCAAACGAGGACGCGCCCGCAGTGTGAAACCGTGGCTACGTGTGGTGAGTGGCACGGTGGCACCAGGAGCGACACTTCCCTTTTAATCCTCATTTACACAAAGATTCAAACAACTTTATTGAACATTAATATTTATGGTAACGTTTAATAAGTTATGATACTAAACGAAGACTCCTGAATAGGGGACGAACAAGGAGGGAAAACTGAAAACAGAAATATGATCATATTAATTAAGGGACAATAAGGAGAGTAGCCTACATTTCTCTCTACTTGTTCCTTTACCCATTATGTAGGAAAGAAGTATTCAACATCCAAACTGTCCTAACTATTTGTATCTTGTATAGCAAAATCATATTTATTCAGGTTCAGTGATGCAAACACAGGTATGGTGAAAAAAGAGAGAACTATTCGAAGCAGGAAAAAAACAGCGTAATATACCATCTGACAAAGGCCTGTGCTATAATGCTTCAATGAACTGGCTATTCTTTATAATATACTCAGATCAATGTTAAGTTATAAATCAAGGGTTTTTATTATTATTTACAGCAGGGGTGGGGAACCTTTTTCCTTTCAATTTTTACAACATCCTCCGAGGGCCGTACAAATTATTGAACTCAACCTCTGCTTAAAAAAACTAAAATCACAGCCCATTCATTTGGCCTTTCTTTCATGCTGTGCAAAGAAAAAGCAACCTCTTACCATGCATGTGCAGTGTGGCATGACCACCGAAACAGAAAGATATGGACACAAGATGTGTGCAAATGTATTTAGTATCCATGTGAACATGATTTAAGTGGGGGGGACCTAACCTCCTCTAGGGGGGTCCGAGGGCGT